CTGGAAGGACTCACTGTTTTAAGCCTTAATGGTTGTATAAACTTGAGGAGCATTTCAGAAAGTGTTTGCCGTTTAACACATCTTGAGACCCTTGATATCTCTGGTTGCTCGAATCTTGAATATGTCGCGCTGAAGCTTGAAAAGTCGGATTTTCCAAGTGAGCTTTCAGATGAAAGTGGAAGAAACCAAATAGATAGTACCAAGCTAGTAAGACCATGGCATACAATCTTGTGGTCTTTGCTGAGGAAGGAGAAAGTATGTCATAGAGTTTCACCAATCAGTTTTCCGACTTCTCTAGTTACTCTAAGACTTACTGACTGCAATCTGGGTGATAATGCATTTCTCCATGTTGATTTTAGTAAGCTCAATTTGCTGAAAGAATTGAGTTTGAGCCGAAATCTACTTTGCCATCCCCCAGAGAGCATTAGATATCTTAGCAGGCTCGAAAACCTTTCACTAAATTCGTGTACAAGGCTAAAATCAGTACTCGAGCTGCCAAATGGTGTTGAGATTGTTGATACAACTGACTGTATATCCTTGGAGAAAGTATCAGGCGCACCTAGCTCATGCAGCATTCTTTACATAAATTGTGCAATCTGGTTGAGATGAGCCCTAATTTCAAGTTAGAACATCTTGAAAATGTCAATGCAGAAACTCTCGGCTATTTGGGTTTGTCAAACTTGGAGTTGATTAGAAATGTTACTTTTAGATTAAGATTTGACATTCAGAAATTGCATACTGACGAAATGGAATTTCCAGAGTTTGTCCAAAATGACATGGCAAAATTACAATCTCTCCCACCTAAGAAGCTTCCCGCTCAGGTGCATCTTTCTGGTTTTGTGTAAAATGAGGCATATATATTATATGATCAACTGATTGTGCATCTGCTTAACATTTAATGATTTTCATGTCTCAGGGATATTACTGCAATGGCGTCTTCTCCACATTCCTATCGGGTGAACACGTGCCAAGTTGCTTTGACACGAAGTTGAGTGAGCCTTTCTGTTCATCGTTCATCGTTCCTACTCCTGATAATCATAGAATTTGAGGCTTGAGTTTTTGCTTGGTGTATACATGCTTGGAGAGTGAAGAAATGGTAAGTGAGGGCCATTGCCTGTCCATTACAATTAATAATTTGTCGCAAAAGTTCAAGTGGAAGCAAGACCCTATATTCTAGCTATTCCTGAAGTTGAAGAGCGGATGATGTGGTTAAGTTATTGGGAAATTGTCAACTCGTTGCAAACAGGCGATGTTGTAGAGATTTCAGCCAGTGTTGGAGATAAACAACGTTTCAGTATTAACGAGGTTGGAATGAGGATTATATTCCTGGAAGAACAACAAGACCAGGACAAAGAATCTAATTGTGAAGTTGAAGAGTTTTTTTCTAGTCCATGTCATCAGAATTTGCTCCTTGTCAGAGTCTTCCCGATGTGATAAAAGGTAGTTATTAAGATGGTAGAATAAATTGTTGGCATATGAATCAGAGTTCTTGCTCAGGTCTTAATTGTTGTTTCTATTACACTTAATGTTAAAGGATAGCGTCCTCTGTCTTCATTGGATAGTACAAGGGGAACATAGTTTTTTTCCCTCATCCCGTCTACATGATTTTCTTTTTTTAAGCAAAAAATTCTTTGCAACTAAATATCATGTCAGCCTGGGACATCCTGCTATGTTTCTTTTCAGTCATCGAGGTCAACACCTTGTACAGGAAGTGAATTTTAAAGCTGTAATTTCATTTACTGAGCTCTATGGAGATTCTTGTATCAAATCATATAGTGCGTATTCAAGGTCAATTTGTCACGTCAAATGCATCTTTACGTGTTCTCAGGAAAAAAGAAACAAGAACGAACACTAGGGCAATCCTATATTGCTAATGTGGCTGTCAGAGTGGGAAAATGTTGGCGTGAATCTTCAGAAGATATGAAACTTCCAGAGGTTTGTCTAAATAGGTAAGATTACTTCCTGGTGAGAGTAGCAACTTTTCGATATGCACCAACATAGGTAGTGCTTGTTATGTTCCTGAATCCTGATCTTGCATGTTTGCTCATTTCATCTTCTTTGTAGCTTGTGCTGGATTTTTTATTTCCATTCTCTATCGTTTCCTTAGATTCTGTCAGTCACGTAGGACTGTTGTCATGCATTTAGCCAAAGGTAAACTCAAGATTTTAGGTCAGTGAGTGCAGAGTACTACAGACAAACTACTCCTTTGTGACAATGTGTGCCGCTCTGTGTTATATAAATATGCGCCTGCATATGGAACATTAAATTTGTTCTCGCAAAATTCCTTATCAATCAATTTGAACCCCTAATTAATCATCCTTTTGGCATAATCTTAATCATCCTTCTTCCAACGTGTAGATCTGAAGTACGATCCCCTCGGATGGGTTTTTCTGCACATTCACAAATTATCCTGGCTGCATCCAGTGTTCACTTCTAGTCCCCTTCATGAAAAACATTATCTTTCTATCCTTATAAAAGTTGTGGACATATCTTAAATCTTTCTGCAGGACAATGTCAGATGGAGCTCTTTTGCAGCATCAACACCAGATAACAGCTTCTGTTGAAGGGCCTTATGGCCAGAGTGCGGAACCAAAATATTGTTAATTTTTACTAAAAATACTCAAATAAGTGTAAAAAAAAAAAAGTTACCAAAGTATATATAACGCCACTAATAGTGGCACTATACAGTAACGTTAACTGTACCGTTACTGTATAGCGCCACTATTAGTGGCGTTATACTGACAAACTTACATAGCGCCATTAATAGTGGCGCTATATGTCTTATACCTGAAGACATAGCGCCATTAATAGTGGCGCTATACCCCTTAATACAAATCCCCCATCTTCTTCTTCTTCTTCGTTCCATCTCCGTCTTCCATCTCCCTCTTTTCACTTCTGGTCCCCCCC